GGGCAATTTCGCTTTAAGATATCGTGTTGTCACGAGACTCGATCGGTCGACAAGTTTTATTTCTACGTTTTACTGTATTGCGCGACTTGTTATAATTCTTACAATTTCGATTGTGATAGTGACAGTTTTCTTGGCTATGGTCATTGGGCAATTTTATTGCCTTTTTGCTTTTCGTGGTTGCTACTTTGACTATTGGTGGTTTCTACAGTGATAGTGACAATTTCTTGCCTTTCTTGGCTATGGTCATTGTGCAAATTTTTTGCATTTATAGTTGAGTTTCTCCAACTCAATTTCAACAAATTTCTCCAGAAGTTGGAGAAATTCGACAAAAATGGCTGGAGGAAAATTCTTGCCTTTCTTGGCTATGGTCATTGTGCAATTGGGTTATGCTGGGATGAACATTATATCAAAGCTCGCCATGGATTCCGGCATGAACCCTTATGTTCATGTTGCTTATCGACAAATATTTGCCTCTGTATGCCTCGTCCCTTTTGCTTATTTCTTGGAGAGGTAAGTATGTTCGAATATACGTAAATTATGTATTTGTTGGCTTCTTTATTTTAATCATGTGCTCTCACACATTAGACATGGAGGCTTGCCTTGCCGTGATCTACTGNNNNAGGCTTGCCTTGCCGTGATCTACTGATAGGTTGCTTATTTTACTTATAAGCAGGATAAAAAATTCTCACACTTTTTCTTTCTCCAGCTTATAACTCCTGCTTATAAGTATATTAAGCAAATGCCCAAACATCTACACTTCATTGTTTTTTTCTTTTTCATTTTCTGTACTTGAATTTTACACCCAAAACTTCTTTGGTCCAGAAGTTCTTGCTAGATAAAACAACTTTTCTATTTACATTTTTTTTAAAAAATTCAAGTAGAGACATAATGAGAGTTCCAATCTAACACTCAATGTAACTGAGAAAGAAAAAGAAATTAAAATTTTATTATTGTTTAATATTGCATAAAAAACATGCCATAATGTCGTTTTTATGTGTTGTTTCGTACAAGCCATAGCATGAAACACCAATGCCCTTCTTGTCACTTTGTATATGATCATCATATTCATCTTACATACATACATTTCTATTTCTCAAAATTAATATGGACAGGACAACCAGACCTCAAATGACATTATCGATCCTTTTCCAAATATTCCTATGTTCCATATTCGGGTAAGTCTCGTTTTATTTTTTATTACCTTAAGATATATGAATGTTGATTTAGCCGTGGCAATCGAGCAGAGGCCTATGAGCGGATCAGCTTGACCAATTGTCACGACAATAATTCTAAAGCTCTCTTTCGATATAAATTTCAGGGTCACATTGAATCAGATCACATATTTGGTCGGACTGAAGAATTCTACTCCAACATTTGCATGTGCATTGACAAATATAAATCCTGCAGTCACATTTGTCATGGCTATTCCTTGTGGGTAATGTATTTATACTCCTCTTGTTGCATTCTTCACTATATAATAAATTTCCCGGCTATCCGAATAGTCTACATATGATTAAGGAATATGTTGGAATTTGGGTGTGACTCGAATTCCTTTATTGAAATATTTGAAGTAATTGAAGTGTAAGTCATGAGGAATTCAAATTTTGAAT